TAAACTCTCGAATTTAAGTCAATAGATCCTCTCTGGCAGATTGGTTTAGTCTCGTTAGTTGGTCCTACTTAACAGTGTTTCTAAAGAATATCTCCTTATTTCAATATGTTGTTTCCGAAGTTTCTGCTTCTTATCGTAATTATACTTATTCAAAATTAATTTTTTTTTTAAATTACTACTAGTTGGCAAGCTTGGATTTAGTTGATGAACAAGTGCAATTTATTTGAGAGAAGGTATACGGTTTTATTATGAAAAGTTTTCTCAACTTCTTATATTTGTATATTTTCTACTACTATCATACTTTTAAAATATACGGGCGCTACAAAGCAGCTTCTTGAGTAATTTCTAAATTGTCCAAATAAATAAAATAAAAAATGACGTGCTTTAGAGGTATCTATCTACATGCAGCGGTTTAACATAACCAATTTTTGCTGGAAACACTTTTATAGCAAAAATGTAACTGGCTAAAAGTTGCTATGTCGAATAAGCAGATAAATTAATTTGCATTATTACTGAAATATTGCATATTTAAATTTTTATTTAAAATAGGAGGTAAATTTTTCTTTACTGAAGAAGCAAATTGTTCGCAAGAAGAAGAAGAAGAACGAACCACGAGCCCAATCAAGCATTTGGAAATATAGTTAAAGAAAATGTTTACACTTGTTAAAGTTATAATCGATTATAAGCCAAGAATTGGTGTATGGCTTTTGAAGCAACACGACGATCAAATCTTTTAAATTCGGTTCATCATTCTACTTTTGAACAGTTTTAGTTAATTAATTATGCCTGCAACATGTGAAAAAACACGGTTAGGCCATTAATTATTGCAAGGCTAAATTGTTGATGAGTGCTTAGCTTAATTTGAACTAAGCTAGTTAGTCAAAATATCCTTCGAAAAATTGAAAGTTTAGCTTAATTATTACCATTATCCTAGATGTTTACACAACCAGAGGTAAAGTAAATTTGTTTTCACGTATTTACGAAAACAGACAAAATCTGAATGGTAAATCAAATAGCACATTTCTCTTGCTCGATTTCAATGTGATGTTCATTATCAACATGTGAACCACTGGCCCCATTTGGATTCAATAGTAGTTGTATTTGCACTTTCGACATTCTCTTCGAATTAGATCTATTAGTGTTTCAAATATTATATAATAATTGCAACTATTTTCCTGGGTCTGTGGCATATTTTCATTAATTTTATTTAACGTTAGGATTCTTTTGGATGTGGATAATTTAACAGTTGAATGAGGTTTCCTAGTTGTCATTCAAAGTGTTACGATAAATCATTAACGTTTGAGTATTTGCAACATGCTATAGTGAGATCTGGAACAGACAATACATATTTAACAATAATTTTCTCGTTTTAATCTGATCTTTAATATTTGGAGTTTAGTTTTGAGCCGGTTTCATGTTGTTGCTTGGTAATAGGAATAAAGAGGGAATAATAGTTTTATTGCCTTAAAAATTATGCGAAGAGTTCCTTTCAGTTCAAAAACTGTTTTATTTATTAAATATAAAAGAACGTTTTGAATATAATACAGTAAAATACATGACTGGTTACTTAAAATACATTTTTGGAAATCATTGCTACCTACTTTCCTCATAATTGTGTGTGCAAAAAAAGTAGCAACTTACTAAACTTTTTCACCCTCAATTTTCAATGGTTTTCAGTTTTCTCATTTCATGCTTTCACATGCAATCCTTCACAGTCGAAATATGTGGAAAAATTTCAAGTTAAACCTTGCGAAACGCTACGTTATGGGGAGAAAGATACATTTTTAGCAGTCGAGCACAATATATATGAACCAGGGACACTAAATTTGAAAGTGGCATTATAGAAGTGATGTGCTTCTATTTTTGCGCAGTTTATCTGTGATTATAAAAGGAATATCTGTTATGCTTGTGAAATTTTATTGTTTTATCTTCCAAATGTCTCATATTATTGGAGTTAATGGGTTCTGCATAATTTAGCTACAACTAATCGCAAAAGAGAAATGGCCCAGACAATATATTCCCAGGATTAGTAGTTTTGAATAATGTTTAATAGGTGAAGATCGTTATGCAAGAAGACTATGTCCTAACATGTGAAACCGTCCTGAAAAACCAGAAGAAAGTTGAAAGTTTTTAAGAGAGTTTTAAACAAGTTTACGCCCTCACTACCAACAACGTACACAACTTTTACCTTAATTAATTTTTGCTTAAAATCAAATAATTAAAGCAACAAAATTCAAATAGTATTAAAATAATGATATTAATCAATGCAACAACAATTAAATACTTCCTCGTAATTAAATGCAGATTTTTAAGTTTTACTGATGATAATGTATACTTATATAAATTGGAGTCAGTCCGGATGGGCAGAGACAATGAAACAGTGTCCCGTGAAGTGAACAGAGAATGTTCATGAATGAAAGTACGATTTTTATAAAAGTTGAGTCGCGTAATTTTTGACATTAATTATTTGAAAGCCTTTCTGATCCCGTCACTTAGCATTTAATTGATCTGTTGTCGTTGTCGTACTGTAGATATAGGATAAGGGGGTATTACAAGAAGCATTACGCAACGGTAAGGTGTGGAGGTTAATTAACTTTCGAATGCATAATTTTACTCGGTTTAACGTACCAATTATTCAGATTCTGCACAAATAATAGCATCCCTAAAAAATAAAAGAAAAAAATTTGCAGCCAAAATTCTGATAGGTGGAGCATGCATCAAATGAAAGTAAAGCATCAACAAGTTCAATATCATATATTTCCATTTTTAAACCTTTAAATTTATTGAATCAGAAATAGTACATGAAAGGTATAATAAAAAATTATTAATTCTAAGGCCATGTTTTATTAATTTTGGTCTTCCGATCTAGACATAACCCGAATATCAAGCATGTATGAATCCTTTTTACTGTAAAAACATTCGTAGAAAAAAAACATTTTGCAGCATACCTCTATACTTATCATTTGCGAATTATCGATTAGAATTCGACTCTATTGAAATATCGGCGTTTATATATTTGCTCTATTTGTAATCCCACAATACCTTAAAAAGGGTTGATATTTGGAAAATTTCTAACAAACTGTTTGTGACGATTTTAATGTAATTTTTAAAACATACAATATACAATATAATGCATTTATATGCCAGCTAATTATGTACATTAGCAACACACGACTGCAATCATTTCCACCTTTGTTCGATAAATCATCAATTAGAATGGAAAGTAAATCGGCATGATCAAATTAATCATTTTGACATAATTCGAACAATTAATAGATTTACGTTTTTAACTTGTATTTACATTATTCACCTAATTTGAAAAAAAAATGACGGCAAACATTGAATTAGCTTTTAAAAATATAATATTCCAATTTATGAAAACATACATAAATAATAATTACACGTGAAGGAGATGGCCTAAAATTACACATTTGTGACTGATCGACTCATTCGCTTTCATTAAATAGGTTACTGGCAACACACATAATTTTGGAATGTTGAAAATGATGCAAACCACTTTTCCTTTGGTGGCCTAAAGCTAAGAGAAGAAGAGTCGTGAGACTGCAAACCGAATTCTTCCATGGTAATGAGATGCCTTTGATCTTCCGATATCACCTGTTTTTCAATTGTTACTTTAAGCAAAAGAGCTTACATATATGAAGTGAAAAAATCAAAGGATATTTATGTGTGGGTGTTTGGTGACCTAGATGTTTAAAATTTTGTAGATTATAAAATTTTTCGAAAGAGGCTTAAACAAACTGGGTCTTTCCCATTCACTCAATGGACAAACAGAGTCTGTTAACAGTTTCATAGGTAATGTGATTTTAAAAGTTCTACTTTGAGCTAAGAAGTAAAATTTTGTGTCGAGAATAACACTTCGGTTAAATTTTGCTATGTTTTCACCATTTTCACTGCTAGAATTAAGGGACAATGAGCATTATTGCTTATTGCAAATATTCGATGATTTTCTTTCCATGCACGTTTGCAGCTGTTTCGCAGGTTGCACTGAGAATAAGTTCCTGCTTCGTTGACTTTACTAAATTTGAATTTTGCACCAAGATAATTTGTTTAATATCGCCTCGTTGAATATATATTGAATATTTGGATTTAGATATTTTGAATTGCACTCAGTGCAGTAGCTTTTCTCACCTATTTTCTACCACCTAATTTCCGCAAAATGTTGTTAGGTAAAGCGTTTCTTTATTGCTTCTTTTGGCTCTCGTTTCAGTTGTTTCTCAAATAATTTATAAAAATTCTGACGCCAAGTTTGAACACTTGTTTTATATACGAACATAAACATATTTGTACTTTCAATTTTAATTAACCCTGTAACAATAGTTTTACCGAAAATATAACTATTAAAGTGTGGACAAAAAAGTTACTGGGTGGGTAAAAACATGGTAATTTTTTAGCTGCTTTTCCGTAATAAAACTGGAATTTAAATTAGACTCTTTTTTTGTTTGTTTTGTTTTGGAGCAAAAATACCTTGATGTGCAAACTCAAATTTAATATTTTTTGGGGGAAGACGCTCAAAGAACATATTTTTACCATTGATTATTCCACTTTCAAAAAATAGATGTCTGGAACTTGACTACATGTTAGATTAAGATGCAGTTTGTTTAAATTTGGTTAAGGCAGTTTTCAAACCAAGTTTACGTATTTTCATTCACGAATTATCTGTGTACCGCAAACAGCTTCATTCCCGCAGTTCTTGAACAACACTGAAAGTATACAACATTAGTGCAAAATCGAAATTTCGCAATAAAACTTGTGTGCATTCAAATGCCATTTGCAACAACCATTTAGCGTGTGCACTCCGCAAATATCGGCAAAATGTAATGGCTTTTAAGCAACCACATGTCCTCAAGCAAAATAGCATACGTAATCTGCATTTGGCGCAAGTAATTCCGCTTACCAACAACTCAAGACACCGTCACATTGCGTCGTCATTTTAACGATGCCGGGGGCCAAAAACCACTTTCTACAAGGTGCCCCTTTCTTCCCACACCTGCACAATTGTCGGCCCCTCTCGCCTGCTGAAGAAGAGATCGCCGGTATCGAGCAGCTTCCTCAACTTAGATACCCAGTCGATAATCGTACTTCTTCACCGATAATATTGACTTTTTCAAAGGGTGTGCGATGAGACAATTTTTTTAGGTCAATATCACATAAAACGCAACTACTATTCGGTAGTCGAATTGGTTTGTGTGCGCGAGTGTTTCTCGAAAATTTCTTTCCAACATGAGGATTATAATATTTTGTGTAAGTTTTTTCATCACTTTATGTAAGCAAGTTAGAATAATTTATTTCAGGGAATTAATATCAAATCGCATGAAAGTGCAAAAACTATAAACAAGCGAGGGGCGTTTACTAAAAAATTGGAGTTTTTCATGTATTCCTCGGTTTGATTTAATTCAATTGTAATTGTTAGCAAAAAAGATGAGAATGAAGTATACCGAAGAATTTAAAATTTCTAGAATTATTCAAAATTGCTAGCGTTTTACTTTATTAGGTGTAAACCGATAATTTTTTAATTCAAAGACGTTGATCATTTAAAATATCTACGATCTATCTTGTTATCACCTGTTAACAAAATATGTATTTTCTTTAAATTTCACAGGTTCGAAGAGAGATCAAACACATATTTAGACTTTTCGGGGTCTGATTGAGTTGTCTAGACTTTATTAAAATTATTCTATTCGTTTGATTTCTTTCTCCAACAGTTTTGAATATAAATAAATAAAATAATTAAAACTATTTTCGGAATTATGTTTCGCAGGATAGAAAATTAGTTAGACGAATTAAATTTTAAAGAATCGTAATGAAACTGGATAGCTTTGCTTGCGCGATAAAAACTAATTATTCTACTTAAAAATCGGTTTATTGCAATTTCTACCGAGGGATGCCACTTCTAGCTTGATTCTTGTAAAAACTCAAAAACTGTTTTTATACTTATGGCGTTACCTACATATTGCAATAAAGTTATTGGTAAAATTTCTGTTTTGGAAAAACGTTTTACAATTTCCAGCTTTAAAGAAAACATTCAACTGAAACTCGAAATAAGATATTTATTTAACTTGCTTATGCCTCAGTGCGTATTTAATGACCATACAGTTGCTTTAAAAATATCAAACCATTAACATACTTTATTTAAATTATATCAGTAAACTCATTTATAAATAAACATGTGTTGTGCTATTGTTAAAATAATTTCTAAAATTTAGTGCTTTATTCGGATCGCAATTATTACCATTAAGAACCTGTGTGAAATGTTCAGGTTACATTGTCCAACAATTATTACTATCCGCAATGAATGGCAATTTAGTATTGCTAATATGTTATACATGAATTTTTTTCATTTAGCTTTCCTCCATTAATCACAACAATTAAACATTATTGATCTTTTCGATTTTGTACGAACATCCCCATTTTTTTATGAAAAATGTTTATACTTAGTTTAGTTATTTCTTACTCATTCATAAGATTATCACTCGTAAAAATTCGCTATATTTGGGCTAATAGAATAATAGCTCGGTCCGCGATGTGCTGGAACTTTCAATTTATGTTTCGCATGAAGCACATACATTTATTGTATCTTCCCATTAACCGATTTTACTTTGAAATTAACTGTTTTACTAAAAACTTTGCAGTTAACTATTTGAGTGGTCAAAATGCAAAGCATAGCTCGAATTATTAAAAATTGTTTTATAATAATAATTTCTTCTACTTATTTTCACTTTACTTCCACACAAGTGTCCATAGGTGGTACCCAGCAATTTTTATAGAAAGTGAATTGTTTAGATCACTATTATCTCGATTTGCAACACATTTGCACTTTCGATTAATCTGGCAAATAAATTTCCAGCTTTCACCCAAGCAAACTTATACTTATCCTGTAAATAGTTCTCGCCTATCTTTTTTTCAAATTTCCTATTTCTGTGTTTGAAAATCTAATGTTATAATGTTATGTGTAAAGAAACCTGCAACACATTCGAGGTTTCTTTGTCGTAATGAGTCATATTAGTTAACGATCTATGCAGTTATTAGATTAAATGCCTTCAGCTTAACTTACTAAGTTCTCAAAGCGGAATTAGTACAAATAGTGCAGCAATACTGACTATTGCCAAAAAATTAATGATAAAATTGTAGAAAATGGTCGAACCTGCAGAAAGATGAATCACTACTCGATGGTAGTGCAGAACTTTAAACCGACTTTTGCATTTAAAAACTAACTTAAATAATTACTCATTTTTTAGTTGATTTTAAATTTCATTTGCTACCATTTTCCGAAAATTCATTGTGTATTATTTCGTTCTTCAGTTCTTCCTTTGCGTCAAATGTTCTCCTTAAATTATGTCAAGACATCAAATAGGTTTCTAGCTGTGTTTCGGATTAAAATTGGTTAAACAACGGTTCATGATTAAACCAAAGAGATACTTAACGGCCAGGAATATATATAATTTAAATAAATATTGATTCTGAATTGAGGTCGGCCTTCGAAGAAAGTGGTCGTTTGTTTACATTTAAATAGTATCACATCACCCAGCGCATAGTAAATAGATTTCTGATTTGCTATTTGATGGTTTTGTGACCACAATGTAATTTAAAAATCCTTTTTTCGTGTTTCCGTGACAAGATTCAGCGTTAAGTGAGAGATAGATGCAGTTGCGATAAGTGGAGCATGAATGAATCAATTAAGATATTTGGAATAAGTGATCCTTAAACAAATTAAATGCTTAATGATAGAAATCACAATTATATAGTATAAGTATTGCTTTTTTACACAGCTCAATATATATTTTAACTTCTTTTGGTGTACGTTTATTTTCGATACAATTTTGAAAAGATATTTACTGTATGTAATTGCAATAAAAAGTGATAAATTTTTCGAAAAAAATCTACTATGATCCCGTAAGTTAGTTAAGAAAAATATTTATTTTGAAATTCATATATCTTTGAGAAATTAAGTGGGGATGGAAAATCTCAATGCGCGTCTCTAAGCGCTCGATTGTATGCTTTAGTCGAAAATTACAATTTATCAAATAGCCATGGATCTCTTTATTAAATATTCCACTTTATCTATGTCATTAAGTAGGTCAAGGATAGCAGCATCTCTGTTAGGTGTTACCTAATAAATGAACCGGGAAATATACTTGTAAAACATGTGAAAGTTAGCATCTTAAAACCCATACAGACATTCAGTTGGTAGGTCTTTTGCCTGCATTTATATTTATTTTCACATTAAATTTTATAGCAGAGATAAAAACAACTGTCTGTTTAGCCAGTTATTTTTAAAATGACTGCTGAGGAATTTATATGAGTATAATAATCGATACTTATCTAAGGTTCTATGAGAAGTTATTAATTCTAATCCTATGCGATATCTAAAAATTGAATTGAAATAAATTTATATAGTATTTAATAGTGTGCCACATTTCAAAATGATGCTGTATCATTTTGAAATGTGGCACATTTAGCGTATAATTTACGTCAGTATATAAAGTACTATTAAGTGCACTCATTTAAAATGTGTACAAGTTAATAGCGACCAGGTTCTCGTTTGCCACAATGAACCCCAAGCTGGAGCCCCATCCTCAATCCTACACATTAAACCTCAAGAAGATGAAAATATGGGTTGAAAAACTGATCTTTGTGGGGCAACTCAACCCAAAAGGAAATAAGTGTACCCTGAATATTACTCAAAGTTTGTAGCTTTTATAACCAAAAATTGAAGCAAATATATATGCAATATTTATTTTTGAAAATTAACTGTATGAGAAATGGCAAATAGTTTTCTTAAAATAAGTTTATTATTGATAAATGAAAGACACACACGCAGCACAATTAGAAATGCCATCTTTAGCAGCAATACGTTATTAAGAATAGCGCTTCAATTTAAATAGTTCTGGTGATCCAACTTTTTCCACAGTAAGGTTTGAAACTTAAAGAAACTCTTGTTAAAATAAAAACTATTATTTCGAGAATTCAATCTTTTTACTTTTGCAATATTTTCGAGATTCAAATATATACTTTAGCTCACCAAAGAAAACTTTAAAATTAAGTGTGACTGATAAATTAATTCAATTTTACGAAAACGCTCGAGTTGCGACTAACAATTTAAAATGGTGCATAGATCAATTTACTTTCTAGTTAAACCTTACGCTTTTGAACAACCATTCGAAATCAAATTGATGAAGTTCATCAACTGCACATAAAACTCAACACATAGAGAGAGCATTTCTTCCTGAATAGTTAATTTGAGTCTTACTTTCTATGACACTGACGAAAACAACAATGGACCAGTCTGAAAGACTACTTTCAATCCTTTATTGTCTATACAGAAAATTTGTATACCAACGACTACAACAATTGGTCTGTCAGGAAATAGCATGTTCAATTTCAACGCTCACAATCAGTAACGGCTCGTATAATCTATCTATTCCCACGTCCTATGTTGGGAATAGATGCTATGGTTATCTGTACGCATAATCGATTGTTACTTAATATAAATGAAAGGTACATAAATTGAACACGTCCTGTATTGAAACGTTTTCTTTTTTGTGGCTTCAGCATGTTCTGGCATTTATGCACACAGCTGGAAGGCTGAGAAATTAATTATGAGGCTTTGAGACAACCACCTCTAAGAAGGACATCTAAAGTTTACTTTTCAAATAGCATTACTTGAATTATATGCGGTTTTGGGTAAAAAGTTTCCCTGAATTTATTTTGTTGTAGAAAATAACATACCATAGAAAGTTTTAAGCTATTTTGATATCTCTATGAAAATACGGGTTTCAAAACTATTTGTAAATACTTTATTGAATCTACGAAAATAAGGAAAAAATGCATTCCCAAAATCCCAATAATGGAGAAATGTTTTTTTGATATAGCTTTTTTAGAACTTCATATAAAAATCGATTTAAATTATTTGTTATATACCCCTAAGTTTTAGGGGTCAAAGGCTTAATTATATTACCATATACTACCTACTCCTTGAGCAGTAGCCTAATTGAGAAAGTATAACTTTTAGAAATTATTTAATTAATTTTGTAAGTAATTTTGTAAGTTGTTTGTAGTAAATTATAATTAATATTTTAGTTCTTGTTGCTTGGGTGGTTTTATCGCCTTTTTTCTAACCTTGCTTCCAAGCCAAATATGAAATTTAATTAAAACTGAGGTACTCCAAATTGATTAATTGACTGATTAATACCAGAGTTTTAATGATGTTTAATGCTTTCCAAAATTTGGCTACATCAATTATGCACTTTTCTTTAAGAATCTTTCGTTAATTTATTTATTGCATTTTTTACGAGATTTTCTGTCTCTAAGTTAACAATCAGTAAATATCCTGTTTTTTGAAAACTTGAAAACCCCGTACTTGCCACTCAAATAATTAATATTACATTTATTATTGGGTCTCTCTAAAACTTCTGGAAGCTCGGCTCAGAAGAACGGGGCAAATTTCAAAGTAAAGCCGTATTACGGTATCTGAATTTTTAAAGTATAACAAAATTTGAGTATTCACATTTAGGTACTTAAAGAATGCATGTATTTCTACTTTGAAGTGAAAGGAAAACCTCAGCTAATGCCATAGTCATCCTTGGATATTGCGGAAGAGATATGTAGAACTAATCGATCTAAAGCACAAACTCTCGTGTTAAAGACGAACGTAATTTAAGGATTTTTTTAACCTATAATCTTTCAACTTGTTATGTAACGTTTGCTTTCATTTTCTCGAACAGGCAATCTTTTTATTTATAATATCAATGAATTGGAGATTGGGCTGATGCTCTTTCAACACCTGGTGATTAATTGAATGTAACCTCTCAAAATGTTATATTGGTACCAATTAGATTGGAGATGGTTAATTTGTAGAACATACTATTAATTTGATGTCCAAGGAAAATGTTAAACTACTGGAGACAAATTACGTGTAATAATGCTGACTCGTTGAGCGGGCATCTAAACGGTAAATCAGTTGCATTAGAAAATTAGCTTCTTTCTGCGAAAGTTTTCGTAGAAATACCTTTTCAATTTTTATCATTGTTAGTACTAGTATTTTTCTAGTGGTTTTGTGATGTACTTCATTATAATCGTTGGAGATGTGTATTGTTGCAAACTACTAAGATTGCTCTCACCAATTCCATATAAAGGAACTGTATAACAAAATAATTAAAACTAAATTTCAATAACAAACGCTCCAGGAGCTTAACGTCTTTATACTGTTCAATCAGAGTGATTTCTTGTAAGTAAAGGAATTTTAATTACGGACATTTTGTGTCAATAGAAACCATTAAGGTTGTAAAGAAAACATTCTGGCCTTGTGTAAATACATCGAAATGGATTGGTATCAATTTAAGTGGTAACATGCTATACTTTTTATTAGTTTTTATTGCTAGAGAGCTAAAGAAATAGTTCGAACCCAATAAGAAAATAATTTCACATTGCCTTAACTGACTGGGTGTTATCTAGACCACTGTAGAAACCAAACTTATTCTGGTATTATATAGTGTAGCCTATATGTCTACTGCAGTCTACTAAAGATTGATTTCTTTTACATGCGTTGCGGATGTGGTTTTGTATAATACAAGTCTAATACAAATGGGTGCTAATTGAAAATGCTAATCAGAAGAATTTGCACTGAGCGCTAATTGAGATTTAGTGTTAATTATTAAAGAGAGTATAACAGTGCCATTGTTATTTCAGTTTAAATTGTACCTCAAAGCAAATTTTATGCTGTACCATTAACGCTACTTCAAAATACTTTTTAAATTAAAAATGTAGTAAAATTTAAATACATCTACATATATTCATGGTCGTATCCAAGGCCACAAATTTTGTCTATTTTGCCTTGTTATTGTAAACCACCATCGATGCTCACTTTTTATTAATTGTTAACTTTTGAAAATATATTTAAATGGTCATTTCGAAACGATATAAGTAATCGCTTTTTCTTTTGTATTTTCGCTCGATTTGAGCTTTCTGCACAAACAAATAAAACTGTAGGGTAACGCATATTGGAAGCAAGAAGAAGCGAGTAAAGAGTTAAAGACTTTTTTTAATTTCACAATGTGCTAAATGAACTAAAAGTTGTATGAAAGGAGCACATATCTATAAAATTGTAATTTCTAAAGTAAATATCCGAAACTAGTCTTTAGGTTTACCTACAGACAATAACATTTTAAACTCAATTTTACGTACAAAAATTGTAATGGATTATTTAATTTTAACGGTATTTTATATACTCGTATATATACGTATGATACCAAAAATCGTATATTAAAGCATCTGAAAATAATGGTCAGCTGAAAATAAAACTAGACAATACATTTTCCAGATAAGGCAACAAAGAATCCTAAACATTTCGTATAATATAATTAATTTTAAAGGGATCAAAGAAATGTAATGAAGAAAGAAGATTATTATTTGTAATGAGTTTTGTAATGAGGCAGTCATAGTTAGCACAATTAACAAACAACACTTGTTTTTCTAATAATAATATACCTACTTTCCATACTTCCAAAAATATTTTATAGAGCTAATTGTAATTGGGCAACCTGTAACGGTAGTCGCGTACCAGGAAGGACGTTCATTAACAAAGAACTATTGTCAACGAGTAATAAGCAAATAAATACATAATTCAATGATAATTCTTGCTTTTTACTCATCGTTCACTGCGGATGTAAAAAGAGGTTAACGGTGAAGCACAGCGTCGAAGAACGTTCTTTGAAAATGAAAGTACGGAAATTTCTTCTGCGTGACAAAACTGAGAAGCGGTCAACACTATTGGTAAATTCACTTGTTGAGTATCGGAAATATGCGAAATAACTCAAAAAGAATGGATTGTTCGTGATTTTAGTACAGCAGAATATACGGTACTGACCTGAAATGTGCAAGAGAGTTATTTATATCATATTACACGGGTGTGTCTTAAATAATCGCAGAACTTGAAATGAGCTGTCTGGTGACATTTAGCATTTCAATTCTAGGTCAAAATCTACTTATTTTCATTTTCGATTTCTTCAATGAATCAGCTATAAAATGTAGAAATTATTTTATTATGTACGGTATTTTTTTGAATTTTATAGAAGTCTAGAAGAAGAAGTTTATACAAGTAATAATCATCTCTGACGTCAAATATATCTACTTATTGCTTTTTGTAATTCATAATAATAAATTCTTTTTGGTTGCATTTATACATAAGATGTTCAACCCAGTATGTCTCTGAGATGTCGCGATTAGTAGAATAAGAAGGATAACATGGAAAGGAAGGACGTGAAAAGGCGTTTTATTTGCTTTTAGTGCATAAGAAAGAGAAGTTTTGGAAATGTTAGACATGGATAAAGTTCGAATAATTGTTTTGGTTTTGACTAAATAGAGTGTTTTGTCGTGAATCCATTGAAGAAATATACTCAGAAAGTACCAAACTTTAATTTGGTACACATCGTGAATCAGATCTGCACATTTCCTATCAATGTACACCCTGAATGTTAAAGCGGCATTAGATCATGTATTAGACTTTGTTAAAAGTTTTATTTAAATTTCAATAATTTCATCCACTACGTTATATTAATTTTTGTCATCATTTTGATGTTTGAAGCAGCCCTGAACACAAGGTAAACCCTTTGATAAATCGTTACTAGAATAATCCCTTTCTGTCTTTCTAACTTAAAGTTAGTTTTCTCCAAGTTGTTAAGTTCTTTCTAATCAGGTCTGCATGTTCCAAAATTTAAAATGTAATCATCAATTCCAGGTTTTTAGTCGTGTAGGCGGGTTTGTCAACAAATTTAATTTGGAAAAGTGTCTTTATTTTTGATAAAGTTTTAAAAATTCTTATAAAAAAATTGATCAGAACTAAAAACTACAACCAAATATGTAATTATGTCCTTATAACTTTAACTTTTTACTAATTCTCCTCAAATTAGCTACCGATACCAAACATTCATATTTTTTATTTATTACAAACGTGGTATATTTTCGGTTCTGTACAGAAACTGGTAAGCAAAATCTCACGAAAACACATAAATCTCACATAAACTATCTACAGAATAGCTCAACACTTACTATTATAATAATAATATACACTTCATTTCAGATAACTGTATATTGCCTTATAATACTAGTCCACTCCGCTGACGAGCATCGCCCAAAGAAAAAAGATAAACGTCAACTAGATCACGCCCTCTCCCAATACTATACAGGACCTCACAGTTATCGCTTGGAGAGGAGGATATCCAATGGACTCCAGCACCCATCTCACTACCCCCAAACTCAGTATTACCCAGGCCCACCCCATGCATATCGCAAAGGTAGACCACATTCTCTTCCTGCACCTCCTTATGCTGTTCAAATGGAACCTCTGATCCACTATTCTCAGCGCGATCCTTTATACGATACTAACACTTTATCCCCTGATGCAGATCCCGGCCAGGAGCTAACCAGTGGTAACCATGTGAGCGATCCCGTTGACCGAGGAGGACATGGTGATACAATCTACATCCCTCATAAACCTTTTATAAAGATTGTAGAAAAGCCAGTGTATATTAAAGAGCCGGAGCCGATTATTGAAATCATAATTAAGGAATCGAATATAACTTTGCCAGCTCCGCCCACCGAAGCACCTCCACCGCCACAAAAGAAAAAGAAAGAAGAAGTTCAAGTATTTTATGTAAAGTACAAAAAAAATCCAAACGGCTACGGAAAAGATTCTGTTATTTACGATAAGCCCATTCCGGCCATTGCTCCTGTAGTACCAGAAGAGACAGAGCCCGAAGAAGAGTGGAAAGACACTCCTCAATCGGGGTATGGGGCTTACTCTAATGAGGTCACAGAGGCGCCCAAACCCAGCACAACGCTAAGAACAATAATTAAACCAGACTCTGAAGTATATCACAGCCCTGGCAACAACGTTAAAGTCACTTTTGGCAAAGAGGGTTTTGATTATGACAAACGGTCCAGCAAGCCCGAGGATTATCCCGGACCTCAAATCAGACCTCAAGAAGACCAACCACGAGCACGTCAATTAACATCTTTCTCTGATGTTTACTTTAAAAGGCCAGCTCAAAACTATTTTCCATCTAGCTCGGAGGAATACAGAACCGAAGTTCGAGCACCACAGCCATATCGACCATTTAATAACTATCCGCAATCATCTAACCAATATAACAGTCGGTCTCCTAACAGAGAATTTAACAGTAGGCCTCCTCCGTCATTCTTTCCCCCGTCTAAGTATCCCTATCAACATCCTCCTTACACAAAGCCAGCAAGTTCGCAGCAATCATCTCGACCATCATCTTTTCCAAATTTCTCCCATTCTATTTCGCATCCTCCACCTCCACAGTATCAGTCAAAAGCGACACCAAGCTTTTCTCCTCCTTCTCATCAACAACCGTCATCAAGATATCAGCACCAACATCAGTTTTCCGAAGTTCTGCCTCCTAGTCAGCGCAAACCAGTACCATACACGCCCTTTGAACATATAAGACCTTCACAGCCAACATTTTCACAACCTCTTCCTACTCATGATTCGCCGCATCAATCATTTATTCAATCGCCGCCAACTCAGCCAACTGTTCATCAGTCGCCGCCGCAACAACTTCCGCACAATGGTCAAAATATTCAGTTTAGACCGGAAACTCGAATTAATCATCAGCAGCCGGTACCCGTAAATCGTCCAGCACCAAGCTACCCAGAAGTTAATAGCCAATTTAAAATTGTTGAGCAACCACGACCAGAGCAGCATAATCTCCAATATCAAAATGTCCACCATCAGCAACAACAGCAGCAACAACAGCAACACCAACAACATCAGCAGCAGCAAGTACAACAACATCAAATCCAACATTCACAACAAAGCTCTAACGAACAAACCCAATATCAAGAGCATTTGAATAACTTGCGAAGTGCGCAAGATGTGCTGCCTCCAGGCGGAGAACTTCTCCAAAGTCTTCCTAAATTTGAACAACATTTGATTGTCGATCCTACCACCGGGCAGTTGTCAGAAGCTTCATCTCTTGAAGGTTCAGAGCATAATTATCAACAACAGGCCAGTTTTGCTGTTTCTTCGAGGCAAAACGATGAGGGCCTAAACAGAGCTCACAAACAAGTGAAAAGTCAAACTGGGCAGAATCCTCAACAATATCTACAAACTTCACATTCACAAAACGGTATACCAAATCAATCATCAGGCCCGGTATATACGAATCAGCGATCCGCAGAAAAGAGTGCCATCAGGTGAGTTAAACTGCTCTTAAATTTTGAATAACAAAGATAATAATATAATTAATATAGTAATTTAACATAACATAAATTTCACCAGTTATTACAACATATGCATTGATTTTAGATCGTATTCAACAACTACAGTCAAACCTACAACAACCACACAAGAACCAGAAAAGCCTTCCACAACTACCAAAGATCCAAAAATCTTGGAAGCTCAATTACCAGATGAAGTTCCCGAAGACTTAAGGCAGCAACTTCTCTCATCAGGAATTCTAAATAATGCAGATATTTCTATATTGGATTACGACAAAGTTGGTGACATTCCACTATCAGCTTTACCTCCAGATCAATTAGCTAACTTCTACGGGGCTGGTAAGAAATTTTAGGTTTGAATCCTAAAAAATGTTCCATAACGTTATATTGACCCAATTTAACAGGAGGCGCCCAGCAGATTGCTGCAGCTGGGAGTGAACAAGTACCTCAAGTTGCAGCATTGACTGCGCGAAGAGATAGTGCATCAACTTCACAAGACCAAGAAATGTCTGCTGAAGAATCGGAGATAAGTGAAGTTGCAGTTGCCCCTGCTGAAACCAACGTTGAAATGAAAGTTGTTAAATACAATCCCGAAACTGACAAAGGACAGAAAGTCCAAGAGGCATATATTAGTGATGCTGCTAAGCAGGTGGAACCAGTAGTTTTGAACGATAATAGTTATAATAGGTAAATAATTTTACATATTTGGCTCAGAGCCGGATCAAGCTTTCAAGTAACAGAGGGGAGGGTCATGTAGTAGAAATTCAGTCTTTTGTTGTTTATGAAATTAGAAAAATGATCGTTTGTCGACAAATACTCAGCACAAAGGGGCTTGACCCCCTTGTGCTGATTATGACATGGTTGGTCATGACATGACATTGGTATAGTTGGATAGAGAGTTGAAAATTCCATTCCGTCATAACGGGTGTGAGGAAATTCGGGCAGTTTTGAGTCAGAAACCGAAAGTTGAATATCAGACATTTAGGTGAAAGATTAGACCAACATTTAATGTTTTCCGCCCCGGTTTTGCTCATTTCACGGAAGCAAAATACCTCCTGTAGTACCAGAATGGTTCATTCCAGAGAGAAATAAATGGCCTTTTTAGAAAGTCGATTATCGATAAGGAAATGTTGGCACTCTTCTAAAAAAAGTCATAATTTCAGTAACAACATGAGTGAAGAAATTCGAGCAGTTTTGATTCTGGAAGCGAAATCACACATTGAGCAGCGGCGAATCCAGCTTTCAAGTCAGGGGGGAGGTCATGTACTAGAAATTCAGTATTTTGATGTTTATGAAGTTGAAAAATTATAGTTAATCAACATAAACCGAGCACAATGGAGGGCCATGACTCACATGATCTACCTTTTGGATCCGCTCTTGATTTGACTATGGCTACCGTGCTTTCCACTTGCTTCCGGAAATTTCCTCTAAATAATCAAAAGTTGCAAACCTTACAGCTGTTGATGTAAACTGTTCAGCAAAATAACGGGTTCACGGCCAATTGAGCCCTAACTAACTAAGAATGGTTTCCTAACTATTCTGTTTGTTAGTCAGTGTTCTTGTAAAAATGGAGTACTTCAGGGAAAGTTTCTACCTGATGCCAAATGGAACAATTCAAAATTTCTGACATGCTCCCAATTGCATGATTTTTTTAATTTCAACACCAAAAGCAAAAAGATAAACTTCATGCCTTGAAAAGTTTTTTTTTTATTTTCTCATGTTCTTTTATTTACAAGATGATCTCAACAAATCAACGTTTTGGTTGATTGTTGAGTAAAGTGATAAAACTTTAAAATAAAAAATTAAAAAAAGAACGAAAAGAACGGGTTACGGAGTAAAATGATATACAGGTTAAATTAGGCAGACGAATTAATCAATTTAAACAACTTTAATATTTGCATACCGCCAGAGAAAACAATTTACAGTGAATAAATACAATGCCTATCAGATATTTTAGAAAAAAAATAAATGATACAATTGAAAATTGCTTCGAAGCTTGAATCAACTGGACAACAAATTTGACAAAATTTAATATAGGATGGTATAGAAACTGAAAGGTAAACCTTAAACCCTTAGTAACGTTATTTCTATAGTAGCTTCCTCCATCAATTGAGGGTTTCGAAGCTTTAACAAAATAATTTTAAAGGGATTTGCCAATGGATGAAACATTATAACATACTCAAGAGATACAAAATTGTTAAATAAAATAAAAGAGCTGAAGTTTAAAGAAAGTAGGTAATAACCTTACTCAAATTCAAGATTTCAAGATTTTAAACCTCTTAGAGTACTGCCTAATTTTCAAAGCTCTTAACAAGTATGAACATTACCTGTATAGTATTGATTTATTATTAAATAAGAAAACCAACAAAGTTTAATAAGTTTAATTGATTTAATTGCAGATATTTGCCATTAAAAGTAAATGGAACTCAGTTTCCTATACCGGATGTTCCCGAACTCAAAGGCAAACGAATCTCGAGCGTGGTAGTTCTGGCTCCAATAAGCTACGATTTTTCATCACGTAAAACCCGAGAAGCCAGTCCAGACAACGATCTGCAATTTATCCAAAACGGTCCCCTAAAAGAGCTACTGGCCAATCCAACCCAGGACAATTATAAGAAATTTTTGGATAGTGAGAAAAACACTGCTGTGTCGAAACAGGCCGTCATTCTTCTTGTGACAAAGTAAGTTATTACTACTGTCGTAACATTATCGCAATTTTAGAAGATTGAGATTATTATTTAATTATATCGTACTTTCATATTTAACTTGAATTTGGCGATAAACCACTTCATTTTCGCTCCCTTAATACCTTAGTCATATTAGTGTATGTATTTTATCATTTTCAATCACCAAAACGAAGGAAAAAACGCCCACTATAATTAATTTTTTAATGTTTTTAAAAGACTTGATGTTTTCTTTCCTTCGCCATTATTTGATTAGTATCCATTAATATATTACGGCTTAACGATTAGCATTTCCGATAAGCTTAATCCAACCTTATTTTTATTTAGCAACTAAATAAATTAGCTGTGATATAGTTAACGTAACTAATGTTAACTATTAAATGCAAAAATATAATGATAATCTATTTCGAATAGTTTTAGTTTGAGTTCTTTCAATAATTTTCAGGATTTGGAAAATACTAAATCGTACATTTTAATCAGAACTTAGAAAATATGAGTTTCACAAACTTGATCTTAAATTTCCTAAAAATGTATATTCTTGCAGTAACACAGAGTTTCTAAATTTAAATTTGAAATGATAAATAGCAACAGTTTAAAACGCTGTTAAATTACCTTATTTTATTTCATTTGTCATTTATTTGTATTAGTTCTTGCGTTTATACTTCAACTACTATATATGTACTATGACTTCAGCAAAAAGCTTCAATTTTACCCCGGTAGAAGAAAAAACTTGTTTTAATGCATGAAGTGAAATTTTAAATGTTTTACATCAATTGAAGTTTGAGCGACGAAACGTTTCTCGTTACAAATGCAAAAAAAAATTACTTAAAAAGCCACTTTTACTACTACACTACAAAACTATGCATGAAGGAACCGTAAAGGAGTGAAGAATGCTATCAAAAAAAGGTGATCAATAATTTCAAAAAGTTACGTGTTTCAGCGCTTTTAGAAAAAATCGTTTATGTAAAATGTAAGTGATAGGCGGTACATTTGTAAACCTTGGTCATTAATCTTCAATATAACTTTAACAAATTGCGCAGTTTGCTCAGAAAATAGGAAGCACATTTTTGTCTATAGAATACGCCTCATATTTCTAAATCGTTAGTACAAGTACGATAACGAATCCATTATTTGGTAACTAATTTGCATTTTTGGTTTAATAGCTTCAAACATTTTTTTTATTTGCATAGGCACTAATTATTTTATGATTTATCTAAATTTACGGTTTTAATATGTGAGCAGGGGCAGGTGTTTCTATCTAGCTTAGTTTTAACTTGAAGCCCTTACCTCTAAAAGATAGAAGCAGTGAGCTCCATATTCAATTTCCGTTCACTACCTATAACAAATATATTTTTATTGGACAGAATACTTTTACAATTTTACAATCATAAACAGTGTTTCTTATGTTTCTTATTTACGTAATAAATTTGTTTTTATTTAAATTTGTCAATAGCTATGCGATCTTTTACAAAATGAGTACTTAAAACATCCCTCACAAAATGATCATATATTCAAGCAAAGTTTCTCGTACAGCAAAAATGTAATTAATTCGGCACATTTCTTTCAAATGCGTAGTAGTTATCCTCATATTTTAATTATTGTTAATTTATTGCGTGTTATTCGTGTTAGTAGTAAATGTCTGACTTTTTTGCTATCTTGGCGCATTTCTTTGCTCATCAATATATATGTATAAGTCTTGTTTATTCACTTCCTTGAAAGTTATATTTATTAAAATTAATCGTGCGTTTTATAAAATTGTTATGTATACTTTGGGTCAATCTACTTAAAACTCAGCATATTGCTTTTCCAGTTAAAAGCTAGAAAATTAGTTAACGAGACCATTTACACTATAAAAAAATTGAGTCTTTTCATTTGGTTACTGCAAATTAAAATATTACGTGTGTCTCTTGAAACGTAATGGGACCAGATAAATTTTCTGATTTCTTCATGACAAGTTCCATACAGTCCCATCACCGCCGCCGCAGTCTGCATACAATAAAAAGTATTAACAATCCGTGCTGCTTATTATTTAATTACATTTAACGGTATGTTTTATGCACTTTTTCGCAGAAAAGTACTATTCATCTATGCGCCAATGCCACAAAAAACTTACTAAATCACAAGTTAGACGTTACCGGGCGAAGGAACAAAAAAGGCGACTTTACGAAATACTTTTTTCAATCATTTCATAACCAGTTTAATAATTTGTATAGTTCAAAATTTTAGTGAACCGCTCACTGCTTGTTAAATGCAGTCCGATTAAAACATCTGCTATTTTTTTAATAAATATAAATGCAATTTCTTCTAGTAGCTCAAATTGTTTGTTCATATATGCAATTTTACACGTTAACATTGTACGCAACTATACTATTGGAAAAAGTAATAAAGGCGTTTATTTAATTTTACCAAGTTCAGAAAATGTTGGTTTCACCACAAAATCTTCATCTGCATTTTTATTTCGTAGACTGAAAACTTGGAAATTAATATCTGAAAAGCAGAACTTCGAAAATTTACAACAAAGGTTACATTAATCTATGAAATACTGCTTTCTCGCAAAAGAAGATTAGATTTTTTTTTAAATTGATAAAAATAATTTTTAAATGATAAAAAGATCGGAATTAGCATTCAATGAAAGTTAAGACTAACACTTACATGCCATTTCCGAATATAAAAATTGTCAAATTCATTATTCGTATTTTATTGCAATTAAAAATTGTCTGAAATTAACCATGCAAACCAAAAATTAATTTTTTTTTAATGTTTGACGATTTTATATGATTGTTGTCATCCGATAAACAATGCAGTCTTGTATAGTCCCATTTTAGTTTAATTTAAATTCAAATTTATTAAACGGAAAAAATCCAAGGCGAATTATACAATGCGTATAAAAATATTAAAATACAATAAAAATTGACATATAACAGTAACAGATAAATAATCAATAAATAAATGACATGTGTACCGGGTTTAGCATTAATAATCATGTATTTCCAAATAGTTAGATGAATAAAACATAATTTTGAATTGCATTTTATATCGATGCTTTTGAAAATTCTAAAATGCGTAAAAAATTCATATTTTTTATTAATTTGATTATCGGATGTAGCAAAAAAGTGAAAACGATTTCGTTCAAACGAACGTTTTCGTCGAATAATCACTACAGCTGCATCTATCTACACATTATCTTCTCATATCAAATTTGAAAACATATAAAGTAAGAAAAAGATAATATAACTTACAACTGCAAGTTTTGAATTTCTACATTTTTAGTATCTTAAAGCTGATACAATGTTATCGTAAAAAGATGATGCAACATTATTTATTTGCACTAGATCGACAATTGGTCACTGTCCAGTTATCCATTAACGGATATATTTGTAGGAGATATCCATTAATTCATTCTAGAAGCTCATTTGAACTTTTTAATTATATATTTTTCAAGCGCAGTTTTTTCACTTTCCATGCAATTGTTATTGAATTTTTTGGTCCCAGTTGTGTGGAACTTTACAAAGTTATTAATCGCCTTTCGATCAAATTTAATGGTCGACCGACAATTTATATTTTTTTTATATTTATACTTTAAAATATTAAGACATAAATGGCATAAAATAATTTTATTAGATATCAATGTTATTAAAACAGACCTTCCTACTAAAGAAGTACAAAAATAAGAACGAGAATGAAAAACAATTGCATATATACTTCTGCATTTTTTCTAATCAGAATCGAAACTTTTATTTTATTTATCAGTTCTTTATTTGAAGAATTTCAATTGTTATTACGACAAATGCTATGTAGAAATGTTGAAAATCTTGGAACTATTTTATGGCAAAGATTGCTAAAAATTAAAAATAGCCGTCATAATTACACATTTCAGAAGCTTAGTCAGAATGATCGACCACAAGATGCAATACCCAAAAGTTTGTTAATAAATGTTGCAGATCAAATGCTTCTTTCGCCATGACCATAAACTAAGAGTGTAATCGAGATTCATATAAAAGCCACTACCGCTTTCAAGCAAATCAGTATCGACTCGTTGTACTCACTGTACAACAATCAATATGACTTCCCTTAAAGGGCTGTGTGTGTTGGCCCTTGTGGCTCTTTGTGCAGTTTCGTTCTCGCAAGCCAGGGAAATATCAAGGCAGAGACGCGAAGCTGAAGCAGCTAAAGTTGGTGAAGTTGCCAAAGTAGCTAAAGTTGCCCAAGTCGCCGACTTAGAAGTTGCAGCTTCCAAGCACGATCATGGTGGCGGTTCTGAATGGGGCAAGGGTGGTGGTCATCATCACCATGCTCATCACCACCATCACCATGGAGGCAAAGGCCACCACGATCACGGTGGTCATCATCATCATGAAAAGGGCGACAAAGGGCATCATGACAAAGGGGACCATCACCATCATTATGGAGAGCATGGCGGACACAAGAAGCACCATCATCATGACGAAGGATACCATGGTCATCACCATCACGGCGAAAAGGGAGAGAAAGGACATCACTTCGGTGAAAAGGGACATTACAAAAAGGGCCACCATACCGATGGAGGTCACGATCAACATCATCTTGACGAATTCAAGAAAGAAAAACACTTCTTCGACGAAGATCATGATGGCGGTCATCATGAGAAACATGGAGGGTTCCACCATGAACATGGATACAAAAAGGGAGGTCACCACAAGGGACACCATCATAAGGGAGGCCACCATCATGATCATCACGGACATAAGAAGCATCATCATCACGGAGGACACCATCATGAAGACGGTGGACACAAAGGACATGGAGGACACGAGCATCATCACCATCATCACCATGATCATGGCAAGAAGGGAGGTCATGATCACCATAAGCACTGGGGACACAAGAAAAGCAGCAAGCACTAAGCTTGAGGAACTACTTACTGGCAGGTTCCAAAGTGCCCATGATGATGTGTTGGTTATGTTGAGATTGTTGATTTTTTATTGTGTTATTCGATTTGAAATAAAGACTTAAATTTTACAAATTATTTACGATTTTCATTATTCATTTCAACTACCAATTGGTAGGCTGGCTTGGTTCATATTTTTAATGCTAGCTACTTCAACTTAACTAACTTTCACTTATCACGTTCAACAGTTTTATTTAATAATTTATTTAAAAAACTCAGTTGTTTCTGCAACATCGATATCAAGTTCAATGCATGAGTATGATTTACTTCTATAAGTCCAAGTAGCAACCAATTTGTCATCATTTAATAGCCAGACTTTTACAAATCTTGCCTCATAAAAAAGTGTCTGAAAGCGAAAGTCCTCAACCACAAACTGCAATGGTAAATAATTTGTTAATATTGGACGTTACAATTTGAATGCCAATTGCACCTGTTAAAATTAAATAACGATTTTCTCAGTAGCAAGTAATTGTCGTGAAGGTACAGATGTGGGTACATTGAAACCAGATTCGGTTTTGATCTGTTGTTGCATCAATTAATTTCAATTTTGTCTTACCTTTTTGCTAAACTGATACATTGGCCGTAAGTAGCAAATTATTTATTATTTTTTGCATCTTTTGCATCTCTATACATTTTTTATGAGTTGTTTTACGAAAATAGAAGACAATTTAAACGCTTAAATTATTTGTTGTGTTGAAATGTTCCATTTCAAATACAAAATTTACCTTAAGGCCTCTAACTGAAGTAGTTTATAATATATACTTCAATAATAACTTATATAACTTGAATGGTTCATTTGGTACTTTGTCACCAAAACACTTGAAAATTAATGATTTCAACATCCCAAACCAAATCTTCACGTTCATGTGAAAATAGCATCATATTTTACAATTGAATCGTTTAAAAACCAAACAAGTTTGTTTAGCTATAAATGGTATTCAGTTTGTTTTTATGAAATTTTTTTGCAACAAATAATTCCCAACTTTCAGGTTTTAAACTTTTCTGTAATGCCATCAAATAAGTAGTTTCAAAGTTTATGGGTTTTTTATTTTTTTAAATTATTAATTTACAGGCTTGAGAATAATTTTTCCAGAAATTAGTGTAATTAAAATATGTTTATAAACCATTTCTTTGTTGCTTGTATTGTAATTTTAATGGTATCTGGCATAGACCTTTTAGAATAACGTAAAATATAAAATGCATTTTAATGTTTTTTCTGATACTACCTAACTAGCTTTTTAAAATAATAAATTAATCAAATGAAACAACGCAATTTGTCTATTTAGATATCGAACACTCCCTAGAATTGTTGTAATGTTCGTAATTGCTGGAAATACACAGTATTGCTGTCTTCAACTATTTTATTAAAAGATTTGTCTGTAAATAAGTACATTAAACTTTGACAAAATTGAAGCATGAAATGGACTATATCGCATAAGGCGAGTAAAAAAATAAATAAAATTCCATTTTATTGATATATTTAGGTCTATATTCTGTTAAATAGCTGATAATTTAACTGAACTTAATGTATTGCTTGATTTTAGAAAGTGTCAGCGAATACTGAATAATTCGATTGCACAGAAACTTACACAACTAAAAAACGGCGTTTCATTAATTTTGAGCACACAATATTACGTTTTCTGTTTTACTACATCGAGTTTTTGCAACAAGATCTAATTAAAAATATTTCGATTATTTTGCTACATAGCATACATTTTTGAAATCCATTACAAATCCAGACAAGATATAAATATTCTCATGCGTTTGGTTTTATTCAGTCGTAATAATGGTCTTAAAGGCAATTTGCAATAATCAGTTTCAATATAATAATTTGTAATAACTAATGAAAAAATTCAAACCATTTATTTAATAGCAGATTACAAGTTGAAATTATAGTCTCTGAAAAAAGTTTCTTCAGATGCGAATTCTTATACCATTATAACTATGGAAAAATATGCAGCAACCGCAATTTGATATTTGACTGTGGAATTCTAAACAACTTCTTGGTATTGTAATTTACTTAGTTGGTGATCATTTTTAATCAAAGTAAAATTATTTTTGTTGTTAAACTGTTATCGAATAGTTTTAGGTATCATTATTTTTGAGAAAATGTGAAAACACATTAATGTTCACAGTAATTAAATCTTTAGAATTGGCGACAAGTTTGATTGAAAATAGCTCGATGGTGATATTTTTCATCATCATATAAAAATAGAAATTGAGTTTCATGATTTTAATTAGCTGCAGTTCTCTTAGAAAATTTTCAATCCAGGTACGAAAACCCAGCTCTAAAATATTTTCCGATTAGTGTAAAAAATTGGGAAAAATTAGGCTGCAGATATTAAAAAGCTGTGTTTAGCGGAAAGTCATTCTCAGATAAACTTCCTGTAGTTTTTCTCAATTCCAATTGAAGGCGCGATATTAACTAAAAATGTTAGTAGATTGAAGGTTGCAAAGTTGAGATGCAATTGAAACAATATGTTAATTTATGTATTTGGCACCGGCGTATATTAAGATTTCATTTTTTTTTCAGCTCTAAAGGACCAGAACAAGAAAAAGAAATTTTTATGTACGACTTAACCACAAACAACGTCAGTAAATTGAGCGGCGAACTATCTTCAGCTTTTGTTGAAGCTGCTGAAGCAAACTCTTCGGATGATCTGAGTAATGGTCAAGCTGCGAAAAGTTCGGAAACTACGGCGAATCAAAAGGCTCATTAGAACTATAAAAATTCTGTATTTTTCATATGATGTTTCGAATTAATAAATTATTGTACAAAACACTGCCTGTATATTGTTTTTTATACTTTTCTATTGATAGATAATAAGATGCTTGATAGAATATTAGTGAGTGGTGAACAATCAGCTATGTAATTCCATATTTAACCCCAGACCTATGGCAAACTAAACAAAGTGGTCTAATTGCCATTGTTAATGAGTAGCAAATACCGTTTTGTTTATTTTTAGGTCTTGAGCAGAATATACTGTATTCATCAGTTACTGTCTGCAGAGTCGAAAATCTTATTTCAAAAGAAAATTTAAAGTAACTGTAAGTAGTAAAATAATGTTTAGAAAAATTTAGATTTTTGCTTTGCAGAATTGCCTCTATTTCAATATACTTGAAAGCTCAATTTAATAACATATTTCAATAATTTTATGATTTCGTTATTAGAAGGGCAACTGAGAAGTGAGTAGTCAAATATAATTTATTTATAAAAAACTTTGCCTCATTTCATTCATCTTCTAGATGTGGTTGATTAATATAATAATATATCAGTGCAGTTTGAAAAGTTGATTTTGTTATTTTTCCATAACAGTTGCCTTTAAAAAATGTATTCAAAATGTGCTTATTGAGCTCTATTGGTACATTTATGATTATGTAACATGTATATAGAATGTATTACTTTTATAAATAAATCTTTATGTAAATAAAAACGTTTTCCTGTATGGCTTGTGCATGAACTTTCTTTATACAACAAACGTATTTAATTATGAAATATGAAATTTGAAAACTGATATTTTGCATTATTGGGTTAATAGACTAGGTCTAACAAATTACGAAAATTGCGCATTTTTTTAGTAAATTTAAAAAAATTTCACGTGTTGCAAATCGCCTAGCTATAAATTCGACACAGACCCAAATCCATTAAAAGCACCGCAGCGGTTTACTAGTAGAAATCCGAACTTATAATCGAATTTTGAACAAAATCAATAAACATCCCTTTTATGTATTTATACGTATCTAATTTTGATTGGCTAATGCATGTGTTTTGAATTAGTTTATTTAAATAATTGGGCTTTTACCAGCCATTACTCGGAAGTTCAACGCCTTACTACTTTTTGCAGGACCTTTTGCTCCTCAAACCAAATGGACCAGCGTTTTATAAAACTGTGAGTTTAAAAAAAATCGGGTTTTTACCGGAAATGAGATAAAATAAAAAAAGAATTCAAAGTGCCCGAAATGTTGCAATTTTCTCCAAAACAGTAAGAAGCTTGATAAATTCGGATTAAATGAAATATGTTGCATGCAAATGCGTCGCAAAAGATCCTTTCTTAACCATACCCCACAAGCAAGTTAGGATTTTTTGGTCAAGTGCCCAAGGAAGGTCACAGTGGGATTAAAATATTCCGATACCCAAGTATTAATCTGAAGAGAATCAGGAGGAAGATACAATAGAGCATGCATGGTTTAACAACTGGCTTTCCGTGTTGGCTCAATACTGGGGTTTTGGGGGGGAATTTATTTGGAGGTCTGAACGAATCTGGTAATAATTCAAGAGAGATCATCATTCTCAGAGGTACATCCAGGAGATCTTGGAACATAGCATATCTTTCATCGGATCTAATCGTGATTGCACATGCTTGCTATCAGTATCTATATGTAATATATTTTGCTCCCGCAGTCACCTTTTTAATTGATTTGGAACAAAATGCTTTAATATTTCATATAATATTTTTCGTTACTAATGGCGGTGCATACTGCTAAAAATTCAATGCTAAAATTAGCATTTTATTCCTCTGATTTTCCTAAAAGAGCAAATCAAAGTAAAAAAACTGAAATTCCTTCAGATGGTTCAACGTTTTTTAGCTCTTTGTCTCAAATAACTGTTGCTACAATCAAGTTGAGAGTCCATCCAAATTGGCTATAAACTTACCAAAAAGACGAGAATGTCAATTTTTCGAGATTGAGTGCAAATTAATTTTGCCATGATATCTTGTTTTCGCAAGTAAGAATTAAAATTAACGATAAGAATGAAAACTAAATTTGCTGTAAGTATTCTCTAAATATCCGCAGCTATTTTAGCATCATTCGGCAGGTATAGGTAATGTTGTTTCAAATCCACAACTTTTTCGATGTTAATAATTTAATAAATAAAATCACTTTCATTATAATATATGTTATGTTATGTTATGTTATAACACGAAATAGTTCGCGTATGAACTTTTGAAAAAACGGATCTCATTATTACACACAACAGGGTTATTAAGAGTTAACATCACCATTCGGAACGAGGTGTAGATGAATCTTTAGGGACAACAAAAAAAAATTATTTGCAGTTTCGCTCGCTTGATTCTGAGATATTTGCAAAAACCGAAACCTTTGCAAGTAGTTAACTTTATCATTTAGGCACAGGATTGATAGACTATAATTTACTTAAACTTAATCAAATACTTGAGGCTGCAATCACGAATGAAAGGTAACAAGTAAATGTAGAGCTTTATAGCATTTAGAGAAATGTGAACTTATAAGTTGTGAATGCGATTCTCTAAGATACTCAAGATTAATTTCTAAGTTTTCCTTTCTTTGGGTGTTCACTGTAAATAATTTTTCCACATTTTTGCTAAACAATATTGTGTTTCTTCTTTGCCTCTTATGTTTGATTTTACTTTTGTCCCTGCTTCCCGTTTATTTTTTTATTAATAACGCAATCATTTCGCAGCAAAATATAATGCTGTCCGAAGTATCAAAGGACATGGTTTACTAATTAATATCACCGTCACTACCAAATTACAACTTTTTTCAATAATTTTGAAAACTTAGATTAAAAAAAAACGGTGCACTTTTGAAATAGACCTTATATAAGCCGACCGTCAACCAACAATACACCGTCAGACGATTCTCATAAGCCAATTCGAACTAGGCATCTAGCTGTCTCTTTTCCTCATCATGGGCCGTAGCTGAGAAAAAAGATGTGATCTTGTTGGGGGTAATAAATGAATCCTCTAAAGCTTGATTGGATCAATGTGACAAATTTATAATGGCGGTGTTGACTGTTGACATTTGGCTGACGTTTATTTAGCAAACACAAACTATTTTGAGTATGTTATGCGAGGCACTTGCTAATTTATAATAATTTTAATGTAACATGGCAGTAATGGAAGGTTCTCTAAGTAAATGGACCAATGTTATGAAAGGATGGCAATACCGGTGGTTCGTGCTAGACGACAACTCTGGATTACTCTCCTATTATACGGTAAGTGCAATTGTTGCTCTCTGACTTCCGTAACCTACAAATGAAGAAGTCTCACAAATGGGGCTGTTTCTACACGATTTTATTTGCATGGGTGATACTGTTTCCGTACAATATTCACTTCACATGAATGTATAGTTTGTGGTAACTTAATGATGCACCGAAAATGCACCAAACCAACAAAAGAAAAATCACAAAATAAATATTAAAGTCCAAGCCAGATAACCCCAATTTAAAGTGTAAACAGGTTTGTGGCTTTAAATATTAGCCAAGAACATTGTTAACATATGTAGTTATAGGTCTTTTTTTGTCTTATCTCAGACATAGGTAGTACTTTTACAAGTTACAAGGTACATACATTTAATTAACTAGTCAAGTTGCCATTTGCACTGAAGCCAACAAAAATTGAAATAATTTCTTTATAGTACCTACTTATTCTAAACAAAACAAAAAAACAGAAACAAATAAATTTGCAACGATTTCAATTGAATTTTTTCAATTGATTGTTGTTTAACCCCGACTTTGCAGTCATTTAACAAACTGGATATCTGTATTGCATCCTATTGGTAAGCTAGTAAATTTAAGTTTTTCTGAAATGCAATTTATATCTTCATTGTCAATTTGTCACCAACAGTCCAGTTACGGTTAACATTGAAAATTTCTAGATATTGCTTATTTTAAACGCATTAACTTTTGGCGTACGCAACAAAAAAATAAATTTTGGGAATTAAAATTGGTCTCTATATACTTTTACTTTTACTAATTTTGTTAAAATATATCTCGGCGGAAAAAGTTAGTTATTTGTTTTTTGACTGTGAGAGAGATAAACACCTTCAAGGTAATTCATTGTGCATAAATCAATTACCTAAATCAAAAACACTTATTTCGTCTGACATTATTGACTATTTGAAGATAAAATACCGCATTTTATTCGAACTGGGAGTGCTTTTTTGTATCTTAGCTGTAATGAAAACAGTGCAAGTCTAGGAAAAATTCACTTTTGCCAATTATAATAGCTTATGTAATTAATTATTTATTTAAGGTGATTAACATGCTTTCAATCCACGAGAAAAAAATCATACTTAGAAAAACTAATACTCAGGCGCAGCTGAGTGTTATGTAAATGTTGCATTTTATTCGACTGAATAACGACGGTTAATGTGATTCAATGATATGGGACTGAATGGAAAATTATTGTTTATTAAATACGGGAATTGAAAACTAGAAAGTTTTGGATTTTTTTTATTTGTTATTGGTTCTAAACCACTTTGTTAAACCTTCCGAGCATGATATTCACCGAGTGCAGCATATTTGCAGCATAACAGCACGGATAATTTGCCTCAAACATGAGTTAAACGCCTTCTCATTTTTATTTAATGGATGAATAATGTTTCGTAAACGTACTTAGTTTATATGGTTGTTCACTATGTCGAGCATGTACCAAAGCGATGGATACATTTTTAATTGATGACGTCGGACAAACGAGTGCAATATGGATGTTTTTTCATATACAGAATGTCTCTTAAACATTCGATAATGATTCGCCTGAGAAGTCAGCAAATCAAAAATAACATTAATGATAGAAATATCATGGTTTCGAATGGTGGATGAAAAATCGATGGTTGTAAAATATTTTAGTTTGGGTTTGGGCAATAGTCGTTATTAATCAAAGTATTTTTTGAGATGTTTGCTTTAGATAAACAAAAAACACTTTATTTGAGTACAAATTCGAGTTTTCCGTTTTCACTATTATGTAAATTTTGCTGCCTTCTGTTCCAAATGATAGATCTTGATTTTCATAAGCACAAAACTGATGAATGTTAAATTCCTTAAACAGTAGGTAAATATATTTTTTTCTCAATTAACTGAAACAACTATAATTTTTTCACCATTAACTACAAAAGTTGACATCGAAAGAGTGGCCCAAAATTAACGCAAGGTCTGAATTAATTTATTATTCGCATCCATTATTTGTTACCTATGAGTTGTATCTGAACTTCAATCAAATAATTCTTAGTCAACTAAATATTTGCCGAGTTTTTTTTACGTTATATGTACTTAATTTATTAGTTTTATATCTTCTTATACTCTTCTCTTCATAGTGAGCAGGAATGATCTATTTAACATGCTTGTTTAATTCTCATTACGCGTTTACCTTCGAAAAACTTGTAACTAAGCCCATAATGTACGCATGTAGTTTTATAAACGTCGAAGTTTTGTAAGGAGTTTTTCGTACATGTCACCAGCAGCTATTTTAGCTATTTAAATTGTTTATGCTTGATAGGTACAATGTTCATACATGAAAAATTCCGATAAGGTTGTATCGTACATTTTTACGGCTCATTGCTTTTTAGAAGGGATAAAGAGAAAATTATTCTACAGCTGAAGCAATAATCTAGATTATATATGGAAACAAATCCAAACGTAAATCTTTTTACAAAAAGAATACGTTGTGAGTTATATCGTTTAGAATTAATGGCTGTAAACCCCTTGTACAATGAATATATCGTCAAATTAACTAAGTAAATAAAGTAGAATCTGAGAGTTTAAAAAGTTCAAATTTATGCAGAAAAAAGTGTGGATTTGAATAATAATTGCACTAATTCGATTCCTGATTATTCAGATGAGCGAGTGTTTTTTTCTAATGTGAATATGTATTCTGTCAAATCGACTATTGAAATAAGTTAATTAACAGTAATTAAAAAATTACACATAGGACGTAACGTAGCACTCTAGTATGAATAGTATGATAATGAAATTAATTGAGATATATATAATTTTGCAGGTTACAGACAAGTGGATATTTTAAATTACTGAGTACTTGCGTTTTGTATAATTGTGAAAATGTAATGTCATGAACAATATAGGCGTAAATAAAGGGTAATTTATAAGGTTACAAGCAATCACCCATTCGACTTGCTGTCTGCTAATGAATAAGTTCTTTAACATACAATTTAAACACGTTTTTAATTTCGGATGCATTAAAATAATTGAAATTGGAAAAAAGAATAGCGATCTCGGAAATGTGTACAAAATGATATGCTAATTTCAAATAAAACGATGTTTTTGCAACCTCAAATGCAAAGTTGAGATGTTATTAGAATCGCAGACGATCAATCGACGCAGTTACTAAACATTTCTACCTGGATAAATATAAGGGTTTAATGTATGTATGTAATGTATAGAACAGAATACAATAGAACGATTCTTACTGTTGGCCATGGATTCTCCATTAGAAATAAATCGGCTACTCTTGGATCTAAAGTATAAATGCGCCAAACAAAAAATGTATAAAATGTATATTTTTTAGAATCTGGGAACTTTTCATTGATTAGAATATTTTAGAATCACACATCATTGTATGATGTCATGTCATCATATCAAAGATATCATAAGATTTTGTATAAAAGCATATTTCCGGACTAAGTTTACCTTCATTCAAGTTCCGTGGATAAAGTGATTAAAACGATAATAGCTTTAGCTATTTAAATCTTCACTGATGATTGCTTAAAAATAAATTTGACTAGCTAAACTTAATTCCATTGCAGTTACATTCGCTCAGTGTAATTTACAGGGCTGCCAAGACTTGTGTGTAAACAAATTGCAATGTACAATATTTACTCATTGTAAATTATCAATTTATAGGAAAATCCATTCGAAAAATGGCAGATTAATAATTGTTATTTAATAAAAATTCATTACGTTGGACCAAAAACTAGCCTCCTATTCTTTGGATGTGGTCGTTAATGTAGTGAGCTACTGTTAATGTTATGTTGGCCATTTTTATAAATGTATCACTATCTGCACTTAGAAATAAATTATTTAATATGCTTATTACGAAAGTAGTATAATATTTCGATAAACTATATTAGTGATCAAGCTAAGCTGCACAACTAACACGAAACCATCCTCTAAGAGAGCTTTTATTAGGAAAGTATAGTATTTATATATATATATATATACTCCTGTACATTTTTCTATAATGCAAATGAAGCATATAAATTATTAATATTAACGCACATTACAAAACTGCGCTTTTATTTTGAAAAATTAAACTTTCGTATGTTCGGGGTGGGAGAGTTGAATTCATGGAGTTGGTTGTAATTGATCACTAGGTAGTGGTAAGGTGCAGCCCTTTTAGACTTGAATATTAATCTGGTGGATATTGTATATTTTACTTGTATTAGACGTAAATTAATAATCTAGAAATGGTTCCAGTTTAGTCTTTAAATATTTCCTTGTTTGGCAAACATTACTTCTAATTGTTTTTTTAATGTTTGTTTCAGTTTATTCATTTATCTCAGTATTGAGCTGAGCTTTTAATGTCTTCCAAATTATTCATCATTCCATTATTCACCAATCACTGATTCCTCGCAAGATAACATGCGAGATTAATGGTAGTCCTTGAATGAATATTAAAATTTAGTTAGCCATATCCAATGTTTTGCAGAAACAGTCCCAAAAGTATATCTGAATTACAAGAGAAATCGAGCTGAAGTGGAGCTAGCAACTACATTTATGTTACAGCGTAAAGAAGTCACCGTTTTTTATATGAATATTTTTGTTTCAGTCAAAAGAAAAAATGATGCGAGGAGTTCGAAGGGGATGTGTTCGATTAAAAGGTGCTATAATAGGAATCGATGATGAAGATGACAGCACTTTCACCATTACAGTCGATCACAAAACATTTCATTTTCAAGCAAGGGATGCCGAAGAACGGCATAAATGGGTGCAAGCGTTGGAAGACACGATTATTAGACATGCCAGTCGAGTAGGTGTCCTTAATTTCACTGTTTAAGACACAAGTTTGTATATTTATCATTGTTTCTGCTACTTGCCGTTGAGATATATATAAACATATCATGGCAATATAGTTTTTGCACCGCTAATTCATAAAACTAAATGAAAAAATATATAAAACTAAATGAATATAACATTTTAGTCTCCTCACATATCAAAACATTTTCAAACAAAAATCATTTATAGGTGGATATTCTAATTTTCAGAATTTTTATTTTTAAGTTGATAGATTTTAATAGGTCAAAAAAAGTAATTAAATGGTAATGTTTTTTTTTCAGACAAAGTGGGATTCATTTCATGTGTCGCCTACAATTAAGGATCTGGATAATAAAGTTTCGGAAGCTGATGCATATCTACAACTTATGATTGAACAAACTAAGGTTAGCAATATACTTAGTTTCGCAATAAATATAAGTTTTAGTTTTGTGTATTTTGTGGAAAGATTAATAGATTGAACGATTAATCCAAGCACCTCGGCTTTCAGCAATTATCGCGTTCGCCAATAAACTCAACACCAATTATATTTATTTTTTCCAGCAATTGGAAGAGAGAATAATTTCATTCACCGACCTTGATGAAAAGACGAAATGCGAGACAATCTTGGAGCATGCAAATGTAAGTTTTATAAATTATCTTTTTACCAACCCAATTACTCTGTTTTATTTCACGAACCATAATTGACATACAATTGAAAACTTTTTTGTGTCCGATAATTCTAAATAAACGGGATTTTTTTCCGATCTTTGAGGGATCTTTTGATACGTTTGTACGATGATGATACGGTTGATGCGATTGTACTCCGGAGGCGTACCCCCGGAAAAAGGTTTTGAAAATAATAAGATAAAAGCTTACAAAAATCCTAAAATGCTATAATTCATTAGCAATGACGATATTATATATTTATATTGTGAGAATATATTTTTACAGGTAATGCTGGATAACATCAAGCATTCCATAGTCCTGCTTCAAATTGCAAAGGTTAGTTTCTATTGTAAATGTAGTTTTTCCTTTATTTTTTAAAACTAATCAGTTGCCTTTGTTTTAATTACTTAACCATATTTTATTTTGAAAGATTTTGTTAAACTGACAACTTGACTAATAATATCGAACAGTATTATGGACAGGCAAACTTGCAAAAGTGTAACAATAATTACACAAAGACGAAAGCCTGGTAAATAGTAAATATTGAAAATAAATTGGGTAAAAATTATATGGTGTTACTGAAAGTAACAAATGATTCAGATCTGTATCAAAATGCATTTGAAAACTACAATAAAATGGTACAATTTTTTAAACTTAAATTTATTTTGGCACATTAGATCAAAAAACGCTCAAACAAGTTGTTTTTCATTTGATTGTTGACATTATATCAATCGTAGTTTGATAATGCGAGTAGAAATTGGCCTGATTTATATTACGGTGAAAGAGTTATCCTAAAGTAATGAACATGTGTTAAAAAAATTAAAATAATGACTTAAATACCGACAGCGTGTAACCGACGTTTTTGCACTCTTGCAAAATACGCAATTTTTTAGCAAGAATTACAAATAGAATATTTTCTAACCTACTAAAATACTTCTCCGAATTTACTCAGTTCTAGACCTTAGTTGAATAAAAATGAGAATATTTTTTTATATAAATGATTAATTTGGGGTAACTATTATTATTTTAGAATACCGCACATCCCATCAATGGTATTTACCATCCAATACCCGGAAAATCAAACAGTGTCTCTTCGATTCATGATGGTATGTTCATATTATATCCTTTGGGTAAGATGAGAAAGTGAGCCATAATGCTATAGAGTAGGTAAACTGTTTAATTTAAATTTTATGAGAAGCATCCTAAATTTGTTTATCGTGTTTTAAATTAGGTCGACAGATCATACGTATAGTTACATTTTATGAAATATGTATATTGCATAATTATAATGACGATTCAGACGAGTATATATACCAGTATTTTCCCAGATATTTTTTCTAAGTAGCGATCTCGTATTTCCATTTTTAGATGTGGTTCCTGGGGAAGCTGTTATTCAACAAGGA